AAATACTTAGCTATGTTCATTTTTGTGTTCAACTTTTTTGGTACACCCCTTGTTTCAGGCATGCCACTTAGTGGGCCTCTAATAAGTTGGAGAAAAGTGTCAGAAGTGATCTGACGAGTGATCTGAAGATTCTCTTTAGGACTGACAAGAATGGACAAGATCAGGAATGAGGTCATTAGAGGGACAACACAGACAGGAAGGTTTGGAGAAAAAGCTAGTTGGAGTCAGAGTAGGAGATGCAGAAAACAGGGAGAGATGGAAAACAATGATTCGCTGTAGCAACTCCTGAAAAAAGTTGAAAAAACATTTTTCAAAAAGACATTTTTCAAAAAGAATTAAAAAAAAAATTTCAAAAAGAATTAAAAAAATTTTTTTTTTTTCAAAAACATTTTTTCAAAAAAAACTTTCTAAAAAATTTTTTTCAAAAAAATTTTTTCAAATTCTTTTTTTCAAAATGTTTAAAAAAATTCAAAAAAACTTTTTCAAAATTTATTTTTCAAATTTTTTTCTAAATCTTTCAAGAATTTTTTTTTTCAAAGATTTTAACCAAAATGTTTCAAAAACTGAGCATTTTTGAATGACCAAAGAATGGACAGGATCAGGAATGAGGTCATTAGAGGGACAACACAGACAGGAAGGTTAGGAGACAAAGACAGAGAAGCCAGATTGAGATGGTTTGGACATGTGCAGAGGAGGGACAGTGGAGACATTGGTAGAAGAATGTTAGAGATGGAGCTACCAGGTAGGAGAAAGAGAGGAAGGACAAAGAGGAGATATATGGATGCAGTGAAGGAGGACATGCAGATAGTTGGAGTCAGAGAAGGAGATGCAGAGAACAGGGAGAGATGGAAATCAATGATTTGCTGTGGCAACCCCTGAAAAAAGGGACAAACCCGAAAGAAAGTCGTTTTATCAACTTGTAACAGTGTGACTAATGGCACAACTCAAATGTAAGTTTAAATTTAAAAAAAAAGTCATTTTGTGTATAAATAAAACGTGGTGTGGGATATAAAATTAGATTCACATCTTCACATGCTGATGATCAGATACTCACACTTCAAGTCTGGTGAAGTTCCCTCCAGGATGATACAGATAGCACGATGGAAACTGTGTGACTCCCAGTTCAGCCACTAAGCCCTGCTCGGTGCTCAGGACCCTTCGTACGCTAATGTTCTCAAACTGTAACAGGTCCAAGGTCAGCTGAAGAAAAAACAACATGCAGTTTTCATTTCATGAGTTTTGCACGTTTACATTTGTTCAGGGCAGGTACATGAAAAGACGTGTTACCTCTCGCCCGAGGTAGGAGTCTGGTTTTTCAAAGACCAGGGCCAGATACTGAGAGGTGTTTGTTTCAAAGAAGCTGCTGACCTCTGCTTGGCTGGAGAGACGGACGGAGAGAGCACATATCAACCACTGAACACATCCACGTACACAGAACGGAAAGAAAATAAATAGACGTTTTAAATAACTCAATAACCCAAAATGTTTCATTCTTGAATTAATGTACATTAATGTTTACATTTTCTTTGGGGGGTAGTTAGAGTAACTTTATCATTTAAACAAAATTAAAAAAAAC